TCTTCTAATTTGTATGTATGTACGTTTGTATTGATTATGTTCCATGCTCAAGGCTCTGTGCCAGGTGCTGGAGGGATCTGAAATAAAGTACCTCTTTTGAGGAGAGAAAATTTAGTATTAATGAAATGTCCATGGAACAATTTATTCAACTAAATCAGCAAACATCTATTTGGTGACAATTGGCAGTCAGGCACTACTTGGGGACACAAAGAGGGAGCTCCCAGTCTAAAGGGGAAGATGTGATGTTAATTCAGAGAAGCAGTGACATTTTAGTGAGATTTTGAGAGAGAAGTAGGGGTTTGTCAGTGGAAAAGTGGGAGAAGGGCTGTTCGAGCCAAGACTACAGTAGGAGCAAAGACACGGGCTTGAACTAGCTTGGCCTGCTCAGGGACCACATAGTCCAGGACAGCTTAACACAGGCAAATGTCGAGGGTAATGCCTCCAGAGAAGTTAGATCAAAACCATGTTTATGAGGAGCGGAGACATTTGATCCTTATAGTCAACAGGAAGCTAGCAAAGGCTTTGATTCCATGGAGGGGCATATGCAGACCCATGTTATAGAGAACGAATGCCAATGCCAATGTCATTGAGAAGAGGAAACAATGAAACAGAAACTTCCACCGGCTCCCAACACTGCATTTACCCACCTGCCTACACCTGTACATACACCGACTCTCCGTCCGCCACCTGACTGCTCTCCTGTCCAAAGTCAATCCCTGCACGTATGCACTAGATCTCATCTCCTCCTTCCTACCTGAGGACATGCCTCCAAAAATTATCTCCCTCTTGCCTACAGTAACTGATTTTATCTTTCTGTGGCATCACTGTCATTAGCCTATAAATATGATGTTATTCCTCCTATATTGAAAAACCTTCTCTCAACCCCACTTTCCCTTTTGAGCCACTGTCCAATTTCTCTCCTCTTTACAAAACTCCTTGAAAGAATTGTCATATTCAATGTCCCCGGTTCCCCTTCTCCTCTCCGTTGAATCTGCTCCATTCAGGCTTTTTCTCCCTCCACTGCACCCAAGCTGCTGCTTGAGATCCTTAATAGCTCCACGTCACTAACTCAAATGGTCAATTCACAATTCCTATGTGACTTGGCCTTTCCCTCCTCCTAGAAACACTTTCTTCACTTGGCTCCCCGGACCTCACACACCTACCCCTGGGTTTCTTCCTACCTCACTGACTACTCCTTCTCAGTTGCCTTGGTTGACCCCCTTGGCCCCCAGCCTCCCCATGTCACTATGTCCCAGGACTCGGACCTTGGCCCTCTTCTGTCTACATTCACTCCCTTGGTGAGCTCACCCAGCTACATACTGACCATCCTCAATTTTATATTTCTAGCCCAGACCTCCCCCCAAAACCCCCTGGCTTATTTATCCAACTGCTTTCTCAATATCTTCATTTAGATGTCTAACAGTTATCTTACATTTAACATGTCCAAAACTGACCTCCCAATATTTTCCCCCAAATCTGCTCCTTCTGCAGTTTTCCCCATCTCAGTTCACACAACTCCAAGCTTCCAGTCACTCAGGCCAAAACCTCTGGAGTCATCAATGACGGTTCTTCATTTCTTTCACCCCATATTCAATCTGTTAGCAAATCCCATTAGCTCCAACTTCAATATACCCGGGATACAACACGACTTCCCACTTCCATTGCTACATTCCTGGTCCAAGCCATCATCATCTCTCACCTAGATTAAGGCAATAGTCTCCTAAACAGTCTCCTTGTTTCATCCCTTGTCCCCCACTCCTGAGTCTATTCCAGACCCAGTAAAGAATGATCCTTTAAAAAAAATAAAATAAAACTAAGTTGGGTCATATTGCTTATAACCCTCAAATGGGTCCTCATCTATCTCAGAGTCAAGGCCAACTTTTTGTAAGGGCAGCAAGATCCTACATAATGGCCCTGCATGTCTTACTTAGTATGTTATTATATCTGCCTCCCTCTGCATCAACGCTAGCTCCACACGGGCAGATGATTTTGTCTGCTGTCAGCACTCAATCCATGTTTGTTGAATAAATGAATGAATGTAGAGGAAGATGACAGCGAGGAGAAGCTAGAAGATGGGGAACCAGTTATGAGGTAATGAAGTTGTTGTTCAGGTGAAAAATTATGAGGTGCTGAATTAGGACAGTGGTGATGGGAAAGGCATGTTGGAATGCAGTTCCGAGCCATTTTTGCCATGAATTATCAGCCATGGTGAGCAAGTCAGTGCTGAGGGTGAGAAGTCAGGCAGGAGTCAAAGACTCCCCAGCTTCCAGCTCTAGCAACAGTACAGGTAGTACAAGGATACTTCAAAACACTCATGAAAAAACAGAATTAAAAGATAATACGAATCTTTCCATGAACTTTTGGAAGTACCCTCATGTGAGGGGTGAAGCAGAGTTGAAGGGGCAGCTACAGAGGTGGGGTTTGAAAATGCTGAGTTTAAGCAGCAAGTGTGCAGTAAGCAGTCAGAATAACCACAAGCAACCTCCTCTTCTTTTCAGAAGCTACATAACTGAAAATACATAGATTGTATCATTGTTGTACCATCCCTCTTGCTTAAAATGTCAACTCTACCAGTTTAATGATCATTATTAGTTAGAAAACAGGTAATATATGCTTCATGATATAGTCAAGCTTATCAGATTAGATCTGTTTTAAAAATAATTTTTTTTCATATTACACAAATAACATATCAAATTATCACAGAAAGTGAAGCAATGTTTCTCTCTCCTACAAGTGGTACACCACCTAAACTGTTGGTATAATCGTGGCAATAACAAATTCTTAAATTTATATTAATTTGGCAAGTCATCTATTTTTATTTTAGTAATTTACAAATGTCTTACTTCCGTCAAGAACCTTCTGAGTATTCTGAGAACCTAGCCTTCTTTCAGTGGCATTTTCTCCATGATGGCACTGCAACTGCCACTGCCCCCCAGCCTCTGCCCTGGCCGCGGGCACGACATTGCTCAAGGGTAGAATGCCGGAACGTGTGTTGAGTGCTCTGCTGTGGTCACATCCGCAGACCCCTAGGGCAGGCCTGGAACCCACCGGCTGCATGCAGCTGAGCTGAGAGAATTCCAGTTACGCTTTAGGATGAAAGTGGGAAGAAGAAAGTCAGTTCTCTCCTGACAGCATTTGTGTAAGAAAAACAAAGGAGAATGGAAATTTGTAGAGGAAAAGAAAAAATCATGTACCTCCTCCAGGAGAGGATGAATTGGCTCAGCAAACTGGGGAGTCGGTCTCCTGTGCAGGTCTTTTCATCTTCAGGGGGCAGCTGAGGTGTGGCTGGGGTCAGATTTGGTAACTGAGAGCTACTCTTGGCCTTGCAGCGACTCAGTTTACTCGACTGTAAAATGGGAGAATGACACCGACTCTCAAGGTTGGTGTGAGATGCAGTGAGGTAACAGGTAAGGATGTTTTGTAAACTCCAACTGCCTCATACTGCTACCAGTTACTTCTTACCTGTCAGAAGCCTCCTGGTTAGAGTACCGTGTCCTTGGGTACTGTGTGGGAATAAAGCAGCTTTAGGCTGCCTTTCCTAAAATAGCTCCCTCTTCCTCCCAGTCCCTCTCCCCAATTTCCCTTATTGTGCTTTTTCTTCATAGCAGGTATCGCACCCTGTAAATATACTCGTTTGTTTACTCTCTGCTTCCCCGCTAGACTACCAGCTCCATGAGAACAGACTGCCCATCTTGTTCACCACTGTGCCCAGAAGAAGGCCTGACACAAAGTAGGTAATCAACAGATAGTTGTTAAATAAAACAGTTGAATAATGAATGCACAATCTGATTCTTCCAGAAGACAGCATGGTGGTCAAACAGCAATGATTCTCAGACTTTGGTTTGCTTGTTTCAAATGCAGTTTTCTGGTCTGGCTGGGACTACTGAATTTGCTATTTCTACCAAGTGCTTGGGTGATTTTGTTGCCCTTAGTCACTAAGAAAGTCACTCTGAATCAGATAAATCAGACTCCAGCCTACCACTTACTAGCTGTATAACTTTAGGGAGGTAATTTCTTAACTTCTCTGTTTCCTCATTTGTAGATAAAAGGAATGATAACATTGTAAAGTTGTTATGAGAATTAAATTAGGTAGTGGATGGAAAGTTCTTGGCATAATGCCACTTGTTCTGTTGGCTGCCATAATAATAATAATTATTATTATTTTATTATTGTGCCCAGGCAGGAGATCTTTCTTCCTGGAGGGTCACCCTTAGGAATCTCCTCAAAATGGGGTCCTGACCAGCAGCATCAGCATCACCTGGGAGTTGGTTAGAAAAGCAGGATCCCTAGAATGGGGTTGGGGACAGGGGAGATGGTGAGAGATCAGTCAAGGAATACAAAGCCACAGTTAGATAGGAAGAATAAGTTTTGGTTTTCAATCACATAGTAGGAAGAGTAGAGTTAGCAATATTGTATTATATATTTTGAAATAGCTAGAAGAGAGGTTTTTGAATGTTCTCATCACAAGGAAATGATAAATGTTTGATAAGGAATATGCTAATTGCCCTAATTTAATCATTACATAAAGTAAATATGTATTGAAAATCACATTGTATGACCTAAACATGTACAATTAGAAATGAAATTTAAAGTAACGCAGAATCTCTCCCCCACTCCAGATCTACTAAATTGAAATATGCATTTTAACAAGATCCAAAGGTGATGATGCGTTTGCACATTCCAGTTGAAAGCACTGCTCAAAGGCACACATACTGTTTTCTTTTTTATTCTTCTTTGTTGTTTATTTTACTTTTTTTATATTTCTCTGTTCTGTTTTCTTCCTGTCTCTAATTTCAGGAGTCTGCACAGGAGGTTTGTAAGCCCTGGCATCCCAGAATCTGAATCCTTCCTCTGTGACGGCTGCTTTTTCACCCTTCCAAGTGCAGAGGAGGAGCCCCGGCTCATCTGGGTGCACCTCCAGCTGAGAGGGTTAGGAGGAGGGATTCCTGAAGCCCTTGGCTTGTTCACGGAACTCTGAGCAAGTGCCTGTGGAGCGGGGGATGGATCCAAATTCCATCTTGCTTTCTCCTCAGTCCCGGACCTACTCCCACCTGGAAGAACCCTGTATGGAAGGTGAGAGAAGCCCAGGCCCCCGAGAGCCGAGTAGAGACTCCCCCTTTTCCTGGAGACAGGTCCCCAGCTCCAGCCTTGCTGATCCCAACTGGTTTTGGGATGAGCATATCCAGGCAAAGAGGGCCAGAGTGGAGACCATCATCCGAGGCATGTGTCTCTCCCCCAACCCTCTGGAGCCAGGCAATGCCCGAGCCAGGGACAGCCCAGGCTGCCCAGAGAAGGTCCGGGAGCGGAAGAGGAAGCAGTGCCTTCCCATGCAGCAGGGCACCCTGAAGCCAGGCCCTGCCCGGGACCAAGGCAACAGGAAGGGGGCACCTCGGGTGAGGGAACAACTTTACCTGCTGAAGCAACAGCTGAGACATCTGCAAGAGCACATCTTGCAGGCTGCCGAGCCCAGGGACACAGCTCAGGGCCCAGGAGTCTCTGAGAAGGAGAAAGGCCCTCTGAGTGCAAAGCAGAGGAATGCCTGTGGGCCTAGCTCCTGGGCTGTGGACAGTGACCAACACCAGGTTTCCAGCAAGGACCTCTCTGAGGCAGAAAAACACAAAGTGTCTGAGGTTGAATACCACCAGTCTGAGGAGCCCAGGTTTCTTCCTTCTGGAGCACAGGCTTTGCTGGAGATTCTGAGGAAAGAATTGACTAGAGCAGTGTCCCAGGCTGTGGACTCAGTATTACAAAAGGTACTATTGGATCCACCAGGCCACCTGACTCAGCTAGGCAGAAGCTTCCAGGGGCTAGTGCCAGAGGGCAGAAGTGAACCCTCACCTCCTAGGAGAGGTGCCTATAAAGATCCACTTTCTCTGGCTGCCTTGCCCAGGAGGGTCCAGCCACAAGCTGGGGTCCCTTTGGGAAATTTACCACTGGCCAACCCCCTGGATTCTCCTGGGTACCTTATCTCTCCAAGAATGATCCCCAAACCCTATCACAGTCCCCCAGCAAACTGTCCCTTGACTGTGCCTTCCCACATCCAGGAAACTCAGATTTTTAGCCAGCTACTGGGTCATGGGCCCCATGGCCATTGGAGCAGCGGTCCTCCCCAGGACTCATCTTCCCAAAGTCACCCCTCCTCCGAGTCTGCCCTGAGACCTTGGGGGGCTGCCAAACTGCGATCATCGGTTTTGAGCCAGCAGCAGTGCCCCCTGCCTTTGACCTCCACCCATCTGGAAAGTCTGCCCCTTCTTCCCTCGGTGAAGATGGAACAGGGCAGCCTGCAGACTGTCACTGAGGCACTGCCTTTCTCTTCGGTGCACATATCCTTTACTAGTAATTGAAGTTCTCATTGTCCCCAGAGAAAGGAGAACTGGAAGTTGAGAAGGAGTTGGGACAAATAACTATATTGCATAAGGAATAGCTTTGCTTTCCCATGGTCATCTTCATGTTGCTTCTGGACCTTCCTGCTCCATGGCTCACAGTTTAGTAGTTTCCTGAGAAAGTGGTGACCACTTTCTGGGATTTAAGCATCCTGGGAAGGTTCCTGTGACCTATCAGATTCCACCACTATTGACTTACTCCTTTGCATCTGAAAGGATTTTATTTGTTTGTTTTTAAACTCAAATGGGCTTCCAAAATAGGATAAATGCCTTATGGAAGGAAGAACCCCATAATCTGGTTGTCAACAATCTATACACCTAGGCAGAGAGGGTCAAAGGAGTAACCTCATCTGAGGTATGGCTTCCCCAATCCCCCAAAGCCTGCACTGTAGGTAATTCATGGGGAACATACAAGGGACCAGGAACTTCTGGGGCAGATGGGGAAGAAGTAGTTTTTCTCAGGGACTAGACCTGGAGAGGCAGCTGGAAGGGATCAGATGCCTTCAGTTTAAAGAACAGATGCCGAGCTGAGTAGGCTGGAGCCTGGGGGCTGGGCACGTGGAGGGAGAGGACGCCCCCCACCCTGGGGAAGCCTGAGAGGTCCAGGCTGGTCTGCAGGGGTCTGGATCTTATTCCACCATCTTTGCAACCCTTAGACCCCATTTTCTTAAACAGTGTTTCCCAGAGTAACCTGCCGGATATTAATAGTTGTTGAGTTAGAAGGAAACGTAGCTTGAGTAAATACTAGGTTAGTTCCTTTACTGCGGGACCTCTTAGAGCCTTTAATATGCTGTAGTGCCATGTGAAGCTCTAAGAGCAGAATGTATGCAGCCCCAAACTCATATGAACAAAGAATCCTCTTTCAACAAGCACCTTGAAGGACTAAAGTTCCTGAGAACATATTTTGGATGTTGCTTTTTTAGCCAGTGTGAGCACACTCACACTGCTGCTTTTTGTGGGCAGCCTTTGAGCCAAGTCTCCAGCAGTGACTGTGGAGTCACATATCCAGGTGTGAACAGTCCTGGCAACTGCAGTGAGGGTGGCAGGATGGGGTGGGGACAGCTCACTATCACGCCAGAGCCAGCCCCTGTCCTAAATGCCTTGCGTGCCCCCTGCTGGTCAAAGGTGTTGGAAACACCCCAAACCTCCGGCTTTCCTGGAAGGCAGGGAGCAACCATAAAACCAACACTAAAAACACTTCACCTGCCACCACTGTCTTTTCAGGCAGGAGGGAATCTTCTTGGAGGTAGAGAGATACCAGCACAGAGAGATTTTCTGTATGAGAAAGGCCATCAATCTGGGCCTTTGATAAGAGACCACTGGGTAAGACTCCCCATTAAATTCAGGCACCTAATATTTCAGGCACCTCTATGTGCCTGTCCCTGCTCGTGAAATGAGAATTGGGCTCAGAGTGCATCAGGAAGTTTTGGGGCCCATCCTAAGAAAGACCTAAACCAGGCCTGGCTGTATGAGTGAAGTACTTCACTATTTTTGGAATGATTTGGGGCCCCAGACAGCATCCTGTCCCCCGCCCCCAACTACTTCCTCATTCCTGCTGCTTATATTCCAGCACTAGAGGTTTATTCCCATGGACCATGAAAACCACCTAAGAGCAAGCTGCTTTAAAATGTTAAGAGAACTTTCACATTCATACAGCATCTCTGTGAAATAGGTAGTAAAGATATGAAGATCATGAGGGTGGCATTTACTGAACACTTTCTCTGTGGCAGGCACTGCTACTAGAAGTTCACACGTACATTTGCACCACCACTTAGCCACAATTCTGAAATCCATAGGGCTCGAAAAGCCCTATTATTTTTTCCCCCCTAACATTGACGTAAACTTTTTTGGTGGCAAATTTGACCTGCACTGTTTGAAGGCTATTTATAGAATTTATCCTACTTAGCATAGTCATATTTTGCTGTATTAATATTAGTGTATTTAATTACAGACTGCCTTTGCTGTGGGTGTTAACTAGCATATGGTATGCATGCCATATTACTTTTATAAAAATAACAGAAATTCTGAAATCTGAACTCCATTTGGCCCAGCATTTTCATACAAGGGGTTGTGGGCCCATATTATCTCACAATTCTCAAGCATCTATTCTAGGATTGGGTATCCAAGAGGCAGGGACAGAGAAGCAAACTGACTTGCCCAAAGTCACAAGATAGACAGGTGAGGAGCCAGAATTCAAACCCAGGATCTGATGACCAAGCCCAAGCTTTTACCACTACACTCTACATTTTATAAATGAGGCCCAGAGAAGTTAAGTGGTTTGCCTAAGGTCACACAGCTAAGAGGTGGCAAAAACTGGGTGTCTGAAACTGGGTCTTTGCATCTCAAATCCAGGATTCTTTCCACAGCATTTATGAACCTTTAGGAAGGATAAGAAACAGGTCCAATGAGGCAGTGCGCAGGGGGCTTTTGCATAGCGGCCTGGGTGCCTGGGCTATCCATAACCATACTCAGTTTGGTTTCTGTGAACTGAATTGATTTATCCTATTGGGAAGTCTTTTTTTTTTTTTTTTTTTTTTTTTTTTTTTTTTTTTTTTTTTTTTTTTTTTTTTAAAA